GTGTGAGTTCCTACGGCTAAATTGTGTATTTTTGGTGATTTTTTTATACTACCAGTATACTATTTTCATGTTTCCCATCGTTAATTTATGAATTTTAACACGTGTCATTTTAATCAAGCTAAATACGGACATTTTCACCATAGAGGAAAGTACGAATAAAATGTTTAATTTCATTGCAGCCAATTTTTGTAACGAAATTGTACAAAGCATAATGAACTTATGTCAATGTGTAATGAACAAACTGTAGCACCCTGGTTTTTCATCTAAATTTGGTTCTTTTTTTTTTTTCAGAAAAAAGTAAAATGGAATAACCGAAATAAAATAAGTAACTAACTTTTATATAACAATATTCATAATATATGCTATATATATATATATTGGTGCAACGGGCTGGTTTCCGCAACTCGACGACAGAGCGCCTATTTTGCGTGTGGATTACTAGTGTTACTACTGTTACAAGTGTCACCCACACTTGTAATGTCATCAAAATTTTCTGTGTCTTTATTTGCTTCATTCAAATCATACCGAATAATTTTATATAAGCGGCTTGCTAATAATTCTATGTAAATGTTGCTATATTAAGGGATATTTGCGATGTGGAAAAAATAATTGATATCGCCTCTTAGATAAATAAGTTATCAGTAGTCATCAAAGTAGTGATGCAACAGCAATCGATAGATTAAAAAAAAGGTAAAATGTTAGAATCCCCGCATTTTCCCCACATCCCTTTTTCATTGACGCTATAATCCCACAAAATGCCCAATGGAGTTGAAATTCCCCGCAATTTGGGGAATTCGCCACAAATTGACAACACTATGAGTGTTGCACATTTATTATACACCCTGAGACAAAAGTTGACAAGTCCCATGTGCCTGTAATTTCACCAGCCAATGAAAACCGGAACGCAGTAATGCTTACATTACTGCTTGGCGGCAGGAATAGAAAAGGTGGTAGTACTTCCCCGGACGAACACTTTTACAAAGAGCTCTACTATACTCCATTTCACATAGGATGGGTACTGTGACATTTAAAATTTTTACATTGCATGCATACTATTTTTAACTAATCTCTCAACCAGCTTACGAAAAGAAATAGTGAAGAAGGATGGCGACATCCCGTGTATTTTGTGTCCCAGTATTTTTGATGACGTGCATTAAGGAGACCTATCAATACTTGTGCTTCATTATCAAAGCAACAAAAAAGCTAATTAAGTACAGCCTGTAGAAGCTGGGGTTATAAAGTTGTTACAGGTTATGTTTATAACATTGTCTTGAATTTCGCTTCCGATGTTTGTTCGTAGTAGCAGAAAACAACAAGTTTTCAGTTTGTTCCTAAAAATAATAAAGAACTTCCCTAATATACCCAAAGCTGCCAAACTCTGCCACATTTAATATAACTTATGTTCTGCAGCAATGAAAATTAATAAAAATTAAATCTGCCCAAATGGCAGAAATCAGCCACAAATGGTCACACTGTTCTCTATATCAATGTGACATTGACATTGGCAAGAGGTCTCTTGTCAAAACGTTCCTTTGCAACTTTCATTAAGCAGATAGAAGTAGAAATTATAACGGTAAAAATAAATTACCCCAACTATATGATGCGTAAAACGGAACATTTTTCCATAGAGATTGACACCATAGAATGGATAAATCGAATCGGGTATTGTTTATTGAAGCAAGATACGAGTGCTCACACCTTGCATTCATCGTCATCCCACCTTTTTTCTGGTTCCTGGCCACCTACTTTGAAATTTTGAATCTTCCTTAAATTCCTTTTTTTCTTCGTCACTTTCTTTTCTTCTTTCCATCGCCACTCTCTACTAAATTTCCGAAGCAAGCTCACGTGCTCGACTTAACATGAAATTCTAACCAGTTAAATCATGTAACCTAACTGCTGTAAAGTATTATATGGTACCATTGAAAATCGTGTGACCGAACTGCTTATAAAGCATAGTATTTCTAAACATTATAGGCCCTTTTAGGGTAAGTTCCTTTTTACCATAACCTGTATTTAAGTAGCGAGTGTTTTTATACGATTGTATCTGTTTTTATATCATTGTTTTGTTACAGCCCTTACGCCTTTACTTTACCTGTTCTTTTCCATTCCTGTACTCTTCTTTATTTCTACAATAAAACTCATGTGAACCGAGTCTTGTATTTAATTACGCGAGCCCAGTGACACAGTTTTGGAGTAATTATTCAAATTCCTTTTCGTTGCTGTTGATTTAATGTTTTGTTCTAGACTATTTGTTTGGTTATTGTTGATTTTTTATTTGTTGTGTAGTTTTTTTTTAGCAACTTAATTACGTAATAATCGTATCCTTCTCATTTCGTTTATTATTTGTTCTAAAATTATTGTTCCTAAAGAGATTCTTCGTTACAGATTATCTCGATAAAATATTTAAATCGATTTTTTTTCATTCGCTTTTACATCACTACATTCTTTGAAACTTCAAATCTCTAACGTCACCGTACATGTTAAGTGAAATGAACTATAAAAGATAGATGGAATACAACAGTAAAGAGAACTTACCAATCATATCAGTTATAGCGTCAGCTTTAATTTCAGCCGCTTCCCGGGTCTCCTCGTCCATCCAATCGAGGTTCTTGAGGTTGTTCTTAAACGCGTTCCGAATGTTGTCGATCATTATCTCGCCTTGGGTTTTCGCTTCACCGTGAAAAACTTCGCGTACAAACATGGCTCCAACTGCGAAACCTGGAATTGAAATTAGGCCATTCTAAGTTGCAATTTCTATATCGTCATCGTCATCAAAGAATTCTTTTCTCCCTAAAGGCGAGAAATCATGCTAGATCCATTTGCAGGCATCTTCACATGTTTTCCAGGGGTTGTGAACCTTTTTGGACGTGTTGGGTTTCACCACGATGTTTTTCTTCGCTGTTAGTGAAAGGTAACCAAATGTGTATAACATCGTGTGATCCCGAATTGTTGCAGGAAAACAAATCCAAACCATTTGATTATTTAATCAGTCTAATGTCCATTTGTACTAAACTTAAGCACGTGTTGCTTGCAATGCAAAAGCCACTCTTATTACATTGTGTTAAGAGTGTCTTTTCAATTTAAGCATTGGTTTATAATCTTTCATAGATTTCTCATAGATGGTACTACGAAAAACCAAATACAAAGACACAACGCAAGCACAGAAAAATTCGTGAGGTCCGTTGGTTCGTTCCGTGGCTTAGTTGGTATAGCGTCTGACACGGTAAGCTAGAAGACGTCGGTTCGAATCCGGCCGGATCGAAGGATTTTTTTCTGAGTGTTCAATCTTTGTATTAATAATTATAAGAAATTAGTGGAGTAATTTCACAAAAAATAATTGAATGTCAATTCAACAAAAATTTAAAAACTAAAGTCTGTTCCAATTTAAAAAACATTTTGAACAAAAAGTAAACAAAACTGTTTGTTCGGTTAAATTTTTAATGCAATCACTCAATAAATCGAATGACACTTTCACGTATATTTCGAAGATTTGGACTTGATATCTCATCACTTATTCCAACAATATTAATTTAAATAGCATTTTAAAATCGTATTTAAAAAATGGTAGTCCAAAAGTGAGGTTATTTTTTATCTATACATCTATGACTTGTCGATGGTAGCATCGTGTTGTACGAAAAAAACATTCGGTTCATTCAATTAAAGTTTTTGTAATCGATTAGTAAATCGAATATTTCAATCGCAATCGAATGACTACCTAAGTGTAACGATTTGAAGGAGGAATTAAAATTAAGATTTCGGAAAATTTTAATATGCTCATGTAGGTTATGTAGGGAAAACCGCCAGTAAGACTCAATTGAACAAATCGATTAATTCAACTAATTAATCGATTTGTAGTTGGCATTACAATTGGCCATCACTAAACCGTCTATGGTCAGGTCAGTGACTTGTTTGTTTACATTTTGTTCAAAATGAATTGAAACGAAGTATAATAAAACATTGTGAATTAAATAAATAAATTAAATTAATTAAATAAATTCAAAAGAAATATCTCACAGGACATTTTTTGGTATAATTTTTATAATAATATTAAACTACCGTACATAGTTATTTCTACTTGACATTGGCAAAATCATTGATTATTTCGATGGAGCCATAACATTTAAAAGAAGAAGAAGAAAACATTGTGACATTCAATAAAAACTTGTAAAATTACAATCATGATATTCAATGCATTACGCAATCAAACTTACCAATAGCGTTGTTAGTATCAGTTACACAATAACGCCAGGATTCCTCAGTACCCTCGGAGCCAAACAACGCCTTGCGCAATATCTTGGTAGCATCACGGAACGATTTGGACAGATAAGTGGAGAGCGAACGTGACACTTGCCACATCATATAGCTCGTTAGGGTCCTGGAAAATACAATTCGGAATTAACCTAGTCTAGTCTAGATCGACCCCTCCTACATAAAGTATCGTATGTCGAAATCGCCAACGTTTACAGGGGAGCGTTTTGAGGTTCTGAATTCACTGAAATGAACATAACACGTGACTTTAGCATTTCTCAGTTTTATTCGGCAAAGCTCGTTACTTACATAGAGTATAATAAAATCCTAGGTATCGGTTAGATGATCTATGATGACCTATTAGATGATCACTCTTTCAGTGAATTCAGAACTCCCCCTGTGAACTTGGCAATTTGACATACGATACTTTACGTAGGAGGGGTCGAGATGCGTTATGCAAAAACGAAAACTTTGTTGGCCGATATGGCTAGTAAGAATCTAAGACAAGCTCAGAATGACTGATTGACTGTTACAAAATGCCTTATGACGTCAAGTCCTTTTGTACTCATTGTAAACTAATTGAGTCTTCTTTTTTTGACTTGGTTATAAGGGTCGTTTCGATACCTCCAAAGTATACTACGCGAACTTAATTTTTAGCCCTGTTCTATTTTTATTTTGTTTTTTGTTTCCTTATTTTTTATTCACAAAATTCGGGGAGCATAACATTAGTAAATAGATACGGGTGTTTACAAAAATAATAGAAATGACCAAAAATAAAGTTGACTTTGTGTTCTTTGGATACATCCTATTGATTTATCGAAAGCAAACATTTATGGTGTATGGTTTTTCATCACCTGAAATCAAAAGATAACTTACTTCTGATCCTCGTCAGTCCGACTGTACTTCTTTATGACCTTTGTGAGATTCCTAAAATAGTCAGGAGCGTAAACGACTATTCGCTCATTCTCTGTTATCTGCAATTGTGTTTAAAACAAATTTTTATGTAACGAAATTAAAGTTAAGTTTAATACATTTTCATGAAACAAACATTGAAAGTCAAAGAAGTCCAATAATCTTTATTTCATAGGTAAGCAAATTACACTTGAAATCGTCATACTGATTAAACTCTACTGCTCATTCGTAAGGCAGATTCCTCTGAGAAAAATGAGCACGAAACTCTTGGAGTTGCTCTTTGTGAATATACATTTCAATACATTAAAATATTTAATTTATCATTAAAATATTTAATTTAAACAGATTGAGAATACCTGAAAGAGCTAAACGAGTTAGTACCACGGATTTTTGTCAACCAAGTGCGCAGAAGTTGTATAATAGCGTAAAGTTTTTGTTTCACAAAAGTTTTAAACCTTGTAAATGGCAAATTTTGAATAACAATCGGAAACGTAGAAGTGTATACATTATCCCTATATGAATTTGAGATTTTATGAAGACGACTGTCAACAGCTAGTTTATTTTTATTCCTTTTTACTAATGTTAAATCTGTCACTATTTTTTATTAAAAAATTAATATTTCTCTTAACATAAATAACATTTTCATAAATGTCCTGTATCGTCAGTGTACGAATGCTAATCTCTTTAAAATTATCTTTCATAGACACTCTGGGACCTAGATTGCAAATTGACCTAACCGCATGCATTATGATAAGGAAAGAATTTCTTTGGGCAAAAAGTCTGTACGGTGTCAAATTATGAATGAAAAACTTAAAATAAAAATATCAAAGTTTAATGAATTAGGTATGGGCCATATTGATCTTAAAACTGTTGCAACTTTCGGGCAATTTCAGAATTCCCCTTAAATAAAAATCCCTTTCTTTGTCTTATAAAATGCAGCTCTGAGGTGTCGTTTGAGCACAGGACTTACAGAGTCGAATTATATTATAAGGAAATATAAATATTAATAATAATAATAACGCACACACTCAACATAGTCCCGCAATAGGGAAACCCTGTGTTGCGGGTGCCATGGACACACACATAGACAACACCAAATTACACCCAAACTCACGAGAGAAATAAATGTAGGCCATACAAATATTTCTCCCGGCCCGGGAATTGAACTCGGGACCTCTGCGTGGCAGTCCAGCATGGTAACCATTCGGCCACGGAGGCAGTCAATTAAAGGCAAATCTGAAAGTATACATGAAAACTCAACCTCAAAAGCAAATAAAATAACATTAAGTTTACTGAATGCCACGATACGTAGCTCAGTTGGGAGAGCGTAGTGTCAATGATGGTATGGTGAAGGCGTTGGTTCGAATCATCCAGTCAGATTCTTTGTGTTCGATCTTTGTACTGATAGTAAATAAAATATTGATACTCACCGTTCTATTAACAACTTTAAACGCATCATTAAAGAACACAGTCCAGTTCAAAAATGGTGCCACTTTCTGCCACTCTTTAATCGTAAACGGATTATATAATCCTTCTTCATCTCTTCTATCTTCTGATGGTGTAGTTATATTAGCTAGTTCCGTCTCGAATTGTATTACTTTGGCCATTTGTTCGCGAGCTTCAGCTTTATTAGAACCGAGTAGAACGCATATTTGAGTCATATAGTCTAGATAGGCATCTAGCACTTTCTTATGAGCTGTTTTATTGAGATAGTTATCTCGGGTGGGGAGGTTTAGTCCGCCTTGATCCAGCTGTAATTTGAAAATAGGCATATTACGATGGTTTAGTTATGACTATATGGCGTAGAAACTTGGCCTCTCACACAGAACACAACAAGGAAGTTGGAGGCTTTTGATATGTGGATTTACAGCCGTATTTTGAAAATCTCGTGGCGTGATCGGGTTACAAATGCAGAAGTACTCAATAAACTGAAGAAAAAAGTGAAGCTTATGAACTCTACTAAATGCAGGAAGACGTTGTATTTCGGCTACGTCACGAGGAACAATAAATACAAATTACTCCAGCTCATCATCCAAGGCAAAAGCGCTGGAAAACGAAGTATTGGTAGAAGGCGGCACTCCTAGTTGAAAATTTTGAGGGAATTGTTCGGCTGCAGTACCACCTCGCAAAGTTATGACTAGTTAACACAGAGCGTTTTGAAGAAGATTATTCAAATAATCAAATTATAAGCAAAGGTGCGCACGCGATTTGTCATTTGATTAGGTATTAAACAAAGAGGTTTGAGAGTGTTTCTAATTAAAAATAATATAATGTACCCGTACGCTCAGCCACAGGTAAGCTATACACACTACTTTAAACTCCAAATTTCGACTTTGTGTAATTGATGTAAGGTTCTATTTCCAACGAAGAATTTTTACATATTGTACATTGTTAGCCACTAAAATGCATATAGCCACTTACCACTATAACGTGCATAGAAGAATTCCGATCATCTTCTGTAACTGCCCAGTTAAAAAGGCCGCCTAGGTTGTATCTGAAATCACATATCAAAAGAACGTTAATAAGTTATTCGATATTTGGACATGCCAACTTTTCTGGACTTTGTTAGTTTTGAGATTCAAAATATTAAAAATTTGCCAAATTTTAAAGAAATCAGAGAGAATCTTAGGGTCGTATTCTAGAACTCTACTCAATGCTCAAGTCAGGATTGCAATGGAAACACAAGCACTGGAAATACGACTCTAATGGCAAGGACTTGAGTATGCTTTCTAGTGCTTTGATCCATACTCAAATCCTGACTTGAGCATTGAGTAGGGTTCTAGAATACGACTCTTAGAGGTGGAATATTTTCTTCAAATTTAAATGGGACCAATACTGAGGTACCCTCTTTCCAATAGAATCATTAAAATCGGCTCACAAATCACAAAAAAAGTAATCACTTAACAAACACACACAAAAAAAAATTAGTCGAACTGAAAACCTCCTCCTTTGTTTTTTGTAGTCGGTTAACTATAAAAGTGCCCCCCATAATTGATCAAATTATGAAATTTTGCATGTTTGTCAAACCTGATGATCGTCTGCGATCGTGTTTTTCCAACGATGACACAAATGATCAAATTAAAGATAAAAAACTTTGACAAAATTTGTCAGTCAGCAGTTCAGACTCAACCATCTCCTTGTAAAGTCGTACCACACTACAACTATACATGAATATCATGGTCTTAAAAACATCATGATATTAAATAAAATAGATATTGCAATATGAACAACTTGTTAACGACAATATTTTGGGAAGTTTGAATATTATGGCTACACGAGTCTCATCTTAGTAGTACGTTTGTGCCACTACCCATTTTAGAAGAAACAAAAACCGTCTGCAATTCGTAGGTGTATACTATGTGCGGTGCTTTCCATCACCATTAAACAAATTATAGTATACAGGACTCCAGACTCAATGGTGGTGATCCCCAGGTGGAAATAGACCACATACAGAAACCAGGACCTTTTACACTACACTTAAGAATAAATATTTATTACTATAAAAACTCACTTGTTTTGCACGTCCTGCAGCAATCGCTGCAAACTCCACTTCTGAGGCCTTAAGGAGTTAGTCATAGTTGTATTCAACAGGTGCCAGCCTCCTAGTTCCTTAATAACCTTAACTAATGGTTTCTCTGCTAGTTTCTCTATGGTCTCATTCGTGTCTATGCAGGCATCGTAGTAAGTACGTGCTTTTGACTCCGCTCCTTGGGTATCGCTGACATTCACTTTTTCTGCAAAGGGATAAGGTTTATCAAAGTAAGTCATTAGAGGGTATGAAGGCGTACTCACTTAAGGCTGTGGCATTATGAATGTGATAACATACAGGGTGAAAATATGAGACGTGACAGCAGCAGTACCTTAACCGTCAAATGTGCAGGAAAATAATCCTGTTTTTTTTTTCATATCAAGTGACAAGACGAACAAGTCGTGCGCCTAGTGTTCAGAACGCCTGTTAATAGCAGTGGCAGTGTCACTCAAAACTTTAAATCACAAAGATCTAAGCGACACTGCCATGTGCCTGTCACCCTGAGACACAAGTTGACAAGTCCCATGTGCTAAATAATTATTATAAACCGTTAGGCCACCGAGCTTCTCGAAATATAAAAATGACGTTTAGTATACAAAATTGCATATCGATGCCTTACTTTCTGAAACTCGTATCTTATAAAGAGTGATTATTCAGGAGACGGCAAAATTTTCTATTTATTTTAAATTTCTTATCAAGGGTGTTAATTTGAATGCATTACTTTAATATAGGTAAAAACCAGTATGTGAATATGAAGGAAATGTGATATGAAATCAGAATGCAAAATTTGTAAATACAATCCATTTTTTACACTTCAGTAACTTTGTGTTTTAAGATACGAGTTTGAGAAAGTAAAGCGACGATATAGTTTTTGGTAAAACAAATATTGTTTAAGAGTTGATACTACCTCACCTCGAATTCAAACTTTTCCCGTAATGAATTGGTTCTATTGCGCGGGCCGGGCGACAGGGACACTGGCTTTATTTTACAATTTATTTTTTTACAAACGTATACTATACGTGTTTTATTCAGTTCATTAATAGATTCAGGCGTTACTTTGCGGAAGTCCATGTCAACAAAAACGGAAGTTAATTTATTTGCTACTAGCAAATTAATTAACTTCCATTTCTATTTAGTTCAGTTGATATAAAAAAAACAACTTGGTATATGTAAAGTACCTATTTAATACAGCTGTTTGCTTATAAATTTCGAAGTAAGTTTGTGTTTTGTTCGAAAATTAATCAGCGTATATCCTCAATTTTCCTATATATTTTTTGCAAAGTGATTGATTCAACACAAAAGCCGTTTGAGGTTGTATCGACTCTTGAGGGTAGGACATTTAATACTGAATATGCAAAGTGGCTCGAATTATGTGTCCGAGAGTACACATTATTAACAGACTTCAAAAAAAGGAGGTTCTCAATTCGACTGTTTTTTTTTTGTATGTATGTCACGCGATAACTCCGGTATTTGTGAACCGATTTTGATGATTCTTTTTTTGTACCTCCATAGTGGATTTAATTTTGAAGAAAATCATCCACCTCTAAGGGTCAGCCATCCATGAAGCATTCACGCATGAAGATTCATTTTTATAAATAGCGCCTAAATTTTATTACAAGGTGCAATGATTTTAAAGTTTGATTTTGCTATTCTCCAATTCAAGGCGTTTTTCTCTCTCAATATACTTTGAGTAGTGAGAACCGATTTTTATTATCTCCTGTGTCAAGTCCGGTATAGTGGCGAACTAAGGGATGAATCCGGGTTTGCTCACTTTCCTGTAACCGATTTCAATAAAACTTGGTAATTATATGTAATTCCACGTACTTTTGAGGTCGGTTTTTTTAGTACTCTGTACTGAGATTATAACCTTGATAATACGTCGTATCTTTTAGCAAGAATAAAACATTCAATTTTGTCTGTAAAAAGTAATTTATATAGGTAATTCCGTTTCGAATTTAATGTTTTGTGGGTGAAATAAATAATTAATTCGACGACATAAATCACATTTTGAAAACAATTCCCACTTTTCAAATTTACTTAATTTCAGAAACTTTAGTGGACATTTCTCAAAAGTTGGCTTTCTCGTTTGGTAATAGCATCGATACCAACGCGCAACATGTGTACCATAACAAAGTCTATCGTATAATTAAGGTAATGGAAGCATCTCTTAGTAAAAAACGTTACTTGCGAAAATCTCGCCAAGAACATACAAATACTTTTAAAAACGATGAAAGACTATAAACTTCAAATTGTCTGTGTTTATAAACATAAGTAGTTGCAAAACAAATTACTCTAACCATTTTTATGTAAATTATAGTCTTTTATAGCAACCATCTAATTTCTAATTTAAATAATGGTGAATATGTAATTTTTGTGAAGTCTCATTGGTGTTATACAAAATGTATGAGTTGAGCGCGTCGTTGAAAATGTTCAATTTGATATAATAAACTTCGTACCATTTAGTTGGGAATTCACAACGATATTCAAATTGGTAGACGTAATGGTTTAGGCTTGTAAATGCTTTGTGGTGTTTGAATAGGGTCACACCATCTTCACGCGATTGTAATAGAAAAGTTTTCATGAGCCTGTAAGTTCTGTAAAGACCCCAAAATTGTTTGAAATTATTGAAATTGGTTATCGGAAAGTGCGCCAAACCGGATTTATTCCCTAGTTTGTTTATAATCATCAAAATTGGTTCACAAATTATATAGTTATCGAGTAACACATACAAAAAAAACAGTCGAATTTAGAACGTCCTCCTTTTCTGAAATCGGTTAAAAACAAATCGCACCTATAGAATGAGTGACCCAATATAACATTTAAATTTTTTGGGAATACGCAAAATAAGATTCAAAGTTGTGATACTTTCACATTATTTATTGCTCTTGAAGTACTAAAGGTGAAAAAAAGAAAGCAAGAAACTTGTTAGTCCTGGAAATAATGATGAAACATTAAACTTTATAACATCATAAATTGTTACTTATTATTTTAATATTTAACAATTTAAAAACATAATTTACAATAACTAGTCGCAATAAGGTCACTTTTTAACCGACTTCAAAGAAAAGGAGGAGGTTCTCAATTTGACTGTATTTTTTTGTATGTATGTTACGCGATAACTCCGGTTTTCCAAAATGTATGGTCCGATTTTGATGATTCTTCTTTTGTTGGAAAGAGGGTACCTCAGTATTGGTACCATTTAAATTTGAAGAAAATATTCCACCTGTAAGGGTGGCAAACTCGGGGATGAATCCGTTTTCGATCACTTTCCGGTAACCGATTTTAATAAAGCTTGGTAAATAGATGTAATTCTACGAACTTTTGAGATCTTTTTTTTTATTAAAAAGATACAATTAATTACTGAATTTTTTTGTTGTCATTTCACATAATAAGAATTTAGTCTCTTTCATTTTCACCAATTAAGCGAGATATTATGACCTTCACACGATCACGATTAAGCCGCTATATATTTTTGTAAACGTTGAAATAGCAAAGAGGACTTGGGACTCTTTTTAATATTTATGTTTTTCTTGGTAGATTTATTGCGGAAGTTAATTCGCACACCAACACCCGCGTACCACTTCACACCAGCCTTTATTATTTACTGACAAAGATAGACATCAAATTATTACAATTCAATTATACTTAAACTAGTTTGGGCTCATGTCTCCCAACCTTTCACTTCTACTGATTACCTACATCTTGTACTTGTTGGGAGAAAAATAAACGATTTTATTTATAAAAAAAAAACTGGGTATTTTATTCGTGAATTTATTAACGTTCTCGTACAATTTTTTGTAACTTGTTTCTACTAAGTCAAATCCACTTGTCAGAACGGTCGTGGTTGTTGTGGGGACATTTAGATTCTTGTTCTTCTTCACGAGTTCTATTGCTCTACTAATGATGCTTTAGTAGGCTTCTACGGGTTTTGATCAGCTAATAAATCTAAAGCTCCAATGTTTGGCTTTCACTTGCACTAAAACACCAGCATTTAAAATTTAACTTTGAATTTCAGACTGAATTTCGAGTAAGAAAGAAGTATCATGTTTTAAAGATACGAGCGAAGAACTTTTTTTTTTCAATCAAGTTATTTGTCCAAAACTCTGTCTTATGATTTTATAACGGTACTAATGTACGAATTCGATCTCGGTGGCCCAACGGTTTGCATTGTGGGCGCTGAATAAAGAGGTTGGTTCTGGTTTAGGTGTTCTGAAATTCCCTAGTTTGATACCAAATTGATCTGACACATTTTTTTAATGTGGCAATGTTAAATTTCTACAGTACCCGCATCTACGTTTATTAGTTATTCCTCGCTTAACTCTAATTACCTGCCGCCTCCGGTAAAAATTGCCAAAAAACTATGTTCTTTCAAAAAAATGTGTAGACAATGGCTCCTGTCCGTGCAGAAATCGAGTAGCAATTGGTCTGTGCAACACTAAATAAGTAAAATCTAGCGACACTAAATAAATAAAAAAACCTAGCATCATTAAGTAAATAAATAATAAAATTTACATTTTTTTTACCATACTTTTTAAATTTACAACTACTCTTTAAAATACTTTTAAAATTTTTATACTTTTTACATATAGTGCAACATATACAGACTCTCTATAGTTACTTGGTGCTTAGTATACAGTACAGTTGCCGGTCTGATGCAGCAAGCGAACAGCTATAGGTGAAAACTAAAAATCAGCAATGCTGGGTCCTCATCCATTTTGTTCACGTTTTTGTTTTGATTTAATTGTTCGCTGTTGTTGTATTATGTGGTATAAAGCAATTTTTTAAGAAAAAAAAAATAATTAATTTTATTTGTTATATGAAAAAGCTGTATCTTTCTACTTTTCCACATAATAAATAAAACTATTGTTGTTTTTTTAAAATTAGGTACTTTAAATAGCTCTCCTGTAATATTTTCTAAATGCACGTTAGGCGTTTTACCTTTCCAGAGTCGTGTGTTTTGTAGATAAATAAATGTGGTTTTATTTTATTCTTTACCTATTATGTAGCATATGTGTGCGACCATCCCTATTACAATATATTATTTCCACATTACACCACCTCCAAAGCAAAGATATTAAACTGTACAATTACTTGTACAAATATTCTATTTTTCAATACATAAAAGTCTTTATAAGGCATCATTGTAGTTGAACAACAGTTTAGCGTATTGAACGTAGTCACTGTTTACTTTAGAGATTTTGTTGT